AAGGAGATTCTGCCGGCACCGAAGGACTCTCCTAGGATTAGCAAGAAGATGGAAAAGGAGTATGAGCATCATGAGCTGGTTGATATGGACCCTAGCGTGAGTGCTCGAATGGGAGCACAGAGTAGTGGAGGGGAAGCGTACGATGAAGACGAGGAAGGACATAGGGGTCCTAGTGTGGCATGTGCCCAGCAATAAGGATCGAGTAATTACTACTGCTGCTACTGTAAGAGATCGTTGCTGCTACTCTTCTACTATCTACTAGTAGTCTTTTTTATTGTCGTTATATGGTAGTGATTTGAGTTGAAGTAGATCACGACGATGTGGGCGATTTACGGTAGGTGATAATGATATTTACTCCGATACAATCGTTGCGGGGAGTGGTGACGCCTGCTATGGTCCGAGCTTGTATGGCACGGCCAGTGGGAGGTTACTTGAGGGGAGCTTGGCCGTCAGCAAGATTCTTCCAAAGTAAGTTGCTTCGCTCCGCCATATTTGAGCTCCAAGTTTCTGGTCGGTGTGAAGTTACGCGCAGGTGAGCCGAGTAAAAGTCATCAGGGAGGCGGGGGGCCGGACTTGGTGTTTGAAGGGCCGTCCTTGCAAGGCGTCTTGGATGAATCTGCAAGGAAATTCTACATGGGTAATACGGCGGAGCGAAGCGTGTTTTCTTTACCATTTTCGTAGGTCTTGGTATGGAATGCTGCGGTATTGCCTCATATACGGTGATGTGGGCAGAGACTATCAATCCTGGGGGTAATAGCGGCCGCTCACAGTGTCGAGAAATGTTCTTCTTTAGCGACCGCAATGCTTCTGTTCCTGTTGTGCACCCAGCTCGCCTTCTCTGTGAAGTCACAGAGCTTATTAGAGTACGGGGAAAGGTGATAGTGTTGATAGTAGTGACTTGAAGGTATGCTGCAACGGTGAAAAACGTCACTCGCATGTATGCACAGAAACTTCCAGGGGGAGGAGCTGCTGATTACGAGGGTGCCTGGAGGCTCTTTATCGAGACTGATGCGATGAAACGTGATAAGGACAGCGAACGGGCTTGTGGTTGGCAGTGTTGCTCTCTAGGTAGAGTCGATTTGGAGCCACGCGGGTCTTTGCCTCGAGGAGATGCGGCGGCTGGCAGAGTAAGGGTGTTGGCATGGGAAGTACCAGGGAAAATTTTGTTTCGTGAATAAAAATCTCTCACCGACGAATAACGCGTTTTTCACGTAAAACGGTTGAATCGGGCGAAACTCCACTGTTTTTAGGTAAGTTTTGATCAGCTCGTCCGTCTGGGGGCGTTAGAGTTTGACGTTGATGCTAAAGGGGCAGTTGTCCACGATAGAGACACTCTGGATAAGCTGGCCCCCTCTGTATTTGCCAAGGCTGGCCAGCAGCGCTTTGTAGCGAGCGAATCGGAATTAGTGATTACCCAGGAAGAAGTGGAGACCACGAGGACGATAGACGACTCGTTTGCGCCTAATGTGCGACTGTCCGAGCTCACCACCAAGCAGTTGGAGGAAGCCTTGGTGGGTACGGTGGGGGAAATTATGCATAGGAAAATTTTTTTTCTGAAATTCTTAGTGATTGGGTGTCGAGCGAAAATCCGAGGCAGCCTCCCTGACTATGTGCATGCGTACGAGGCAAGCCATGTCGCCGTTGTGTGCTCATCATAGAGAGCTTATGCCTAATACTGCGGTGCAAAGTGGCTGGGAAATATATTTGACCCGCCTCATTTCGCCGGGTTGCCCGTAGGATATTTCCTCCCTTGCTGATCCCAGTGTTATGCGAAGCGAAGACGAAAAACGAGAATTTTGCTGCTTTTGTATAGTGTTACTCGAGTTTGTATATGAACTTGTATAATTAGTGAGGAAACTCCTGAGCTCAGCTGGGAGAAGCGAGCATGTATTTGTGGTCGTTGTGGTCAGAGAATCATCCAGAAACCTATAATGTTCCCGGGGAGGAACTCTATTTTGAATTTCCCACATGGCTAGGTATTCATTCTTCAATCAGTTTTCCATGTAAATGTCATCATCACATTAGGAACATCATTTTCCCCATTGTTATCAAACTCCCAAGCAACGTTATTTCTCAAAGTTGCACGGGTCCCTGGTTGTTGTGATGATACTATTGTTGGTCTTAGGCTAAGCGTCCGGGAGCTCTGGGGGGACAGAATATCAAAGCTGTTCCGTCGCGAGTGGTAGGAAGAGGAAGCGTTGTGTTGAGGGGACAGATCTTTGTGTTAGTTGCTGAACAAAGCCTCGGACACGCTTTTCTACGGTGGTGGATTTATTCTGGCCGGTGCGGTGCTGTTGGGCCTCTTCGGAGGGAGCACTGAGGAGTATCTTAAGAGGGCCGAAGAGGAGCACAACAGAATGATGTAGATTTTTTGGGGAAAATTGCGAGGAAATTTTGGGAGGTTATTGTTGGTTTTCGATATACATTTGTACTCGGATTCGTAGATGAACTTCTATAATTAGTGAGGAAACTTCTGAGCTCAGCTGAGAGAAAGCGAATATATTTTTCAACACTGCTCTGGGGAGGTTGACTTGTGAAGATTCGGATTAGGTCCAGTAGGATGATGACGCCATTCAACAGCCAACAGCCTCAGCAGTTCTATGGTGGGTATGCTCCCCCTCCTCCTGGTACCACACCTCCGCCACTTCAAGGATACCCTACCCGGGGTCAGTTCTGAACTCTGTGATGATACTCTCATTGATTGTTTCTAATTTTTGATTTTGTGTTGAGATTCTCGGGCGCTTCTTAGTTGATACTGCTTGTTACTTACAACAACAGCAAACCACTTGGGGTGATTTAAATCTCTGATTTTCAGAGCAGATATCGGGCCCGTATTTGAGCAACATCGGTAGTGCTATATGGCGAATTTAATCGATTCTGTCGTTACGTTTCAGAAGGGAAATAATTCCCTTCTCATGGTTGAGATGAGCTCCTCAATTTTCCAGTTGACCGTCGCTCCGTCACACAATGGGATCTCTCTCTCACGCGTATCTTCTCCTATACAACACAGTACAGACTCTGGGCTGGGCCTATATCCTCTATGAAGCTCTTATGGGGCCTTTACCAGCCGTCAGTGGAAAAGTGATCGAACCTTTGTAAGTGATGGCAATTGGAAAAAGATTTTTTCATGCATTTTGAAAGGTACCTGTTTCAAGGCTTGGCCGTTTTGGAGATCCTTCACTCTGTTTTCGGTTTGGTCAGAGCAAGTCCTGTGATCACTACCATCCAGGTTGGATTTATTTGTAGCTGTAAAAGTTGCATAAACATCTTCCCTCAGGTCTATTCCCGACTACAGCTTATCTATCTCCACTACCGTTGCAGCGAAGTTGCCGATAGCAGCCCTGGTTTGCTCCCCATGGTGCTCGCGTGGTCCATCACAGAAGTTGTGAGGTATTTCCCAGAAGCAAACACTACCCTTTCTAGCTATCAACAGATACTCCTATTTGGGCCTACACATGTCAGTTGGAGCTCCTGGCTTCCTCAAGTGGTTACGCTATACGTAAGGGAAAGACATCTCCTCCGACTTGATCGATTCCCCACGCCTCAGGTTGTTTCTAGTCCTTTACCCTCTAGGGGTATACGGCGAGATGCGTGTCATCTACGATGTGCTGCCTGTGGTTGACAGGGAGGGTATCCTTTCAGTGGCCATGCCCAACTCGTATAACTTCTCCTTCAATTTTGCCGTTTTCCTTAAGGTAAGCTCAATTGTTTTGCCCTTTGCTAACAGTACTTGTTTCAGAGCCTACTAGCCATCTATCTCCCCGGGCTGTACGTGCAGTACACCCACATGCTGCATCAGAGGAGCAAGCAACTCGGTGGACACGCGAAAGAGTCGCAGTGAATGTCGAGGGCAGTTTATCGAAGAAATACAAATTCCAACAGATGAGGACACCTCACTTGTGTTGAGTTTATAGTAAACTGACATTCCACGATGACTAGCGTCTGCACGCATGTACGAGGATTAAGAGGTGACTTCCGTTTACCAAGATACTCAAATTTCCCTCAACTTTTGTCAGCAACCAAACGCCTGAACTTGTCAGAAACGAAAGGAAAATGCAGCAATCTTATCTGCGAAGTGCTTCAATCGAGTAATTTGATAACCTCTTGTCGTCTATCTTTAACAGTATTATTGGCCTTGTCGATAACATAGAGGAGCATCACTTTACGACCACCATCAGAGACGAACCCCAAAGTCTCTGTGAAGCCACCACAACGCACACCAGTGCTGCTAACCTCGCGGAAGAGGTGAAGGAGAGCCTTTCGGGAGACCCTCTCGCCAGGCAGCATCCTTTCAATGCAAATAGAAACGACTCTCTCGAAAACCACAGAGTGCCAATCTTTGACTTGAGGAATCTTTCGTACTGCGTTCTGGTCACTAGGTAAGGCTCTATTCCACAACTTGGCCACGTCGTTGATAGAAGATATAAGTTTTGGCAAAAGATTCGCGAGGTCCTCGTGAGAAAAGATACGAAGTAGGTCCACACGCCAGAAGGTTAGACAAGTGCCTTTTGATTTCGACCGCAACTCTCGAGGCTCCATCACGCCACTGTTCGCAACGGAAACGATCAACTCGGCTGCTCGTGAGGACATGCAGGCCACATCGGCTAAGATTTGATGCATGGCAGTAGTGTTATCATCAAGAAGGACAGCATCCAGAGCCTTTCGAGTGATGCCTCGAACCGACCAAGCTGGGGTGCTATCATGAACATAGGGAATGTGAGCTTCTGTGGCGACCTTGACAAAAGTCGACTTCCGCTCGTAAATGAGAGGCCGACACACTATGCATCTGTCGAGACCAGGCGGGGACTCCCTAACACGATGCATGCCGTCCATATCGCCCATAACGTGGCCTCTACTCAGCTGCTCGAGACGGTTCTCATCAACGTCGTCTTGATGGTGACCAAGGACTACCACACAGTTCTCATCACCAGAGGCTAGACTGTACATGCGGAACCTTATACTCTTCGTTTGCGTTTCGTACTCGTCTCTGGTCACGCCACCAGAAGTCGTCCCCTCTAAACCGTGTGGTCGTGGAAGGTCAATGTTGAAGGCGAACAGCTGGACGTTACACTGTTCACAAAGCCAGGCCACGAGGTTGAGTTCAGACCGAGCCTCATCGAGGTTCTCTCGGTTCCCTGAATACCCCATATAGAGTGCTCGAAGCTTCCAGTCAGCTACTCTGTGGTAGCGCAGCGCACAGAGAAGGATGAGAGTGGACGAAGAGTCGACTCCCCCGGAAAGAGATAAGACCACCGTTCTGGACTTGGTCATAGCAAAGGCCTCTTCCAGCCCAGAGCTCAGTTCTGAACACAGGGAGCTTGTTGCTAGCCTGTCTAGAGTACGCGGAAGGTCACTGAGGAAGCTATCGCAATAAGGCCAACACCTAGGGTCGAGATAAGCCTTATTCGGGTAGTCATGGCCGTTCAAGGGAATTTCAGCCGGTTTCCCCTCAGCGCTCAGACTGTACTGTATGAACTCCTCAGCAGAAGCATGCGGAGGCGCAGTCAACAGCTCCTCGATCACCTCGCACACCATTGCTTCGAAAAGGGCATCACACGACAGTCCTTTGAAAAAAGCGCGCGCCCAGATGGGGAATTTTGTGATCGATTTTTGTATAACCATAACAGTTGATAAACCGAATCGTTTCTACACGTATAATACGATGCTAGAGTCGATTCTGAATTTCACAAGTGATTCAATGAACATGGGGAGCGTCTCTGTCGTGGGATTACTACAATGTAGAGGCAATATAAAACGCGATCAGTTTCAGTGCGCTTTCTACGAGGGTCCGAGACGTGATTCGGCATTCATGGACGCAGTTGGTCCAGCCGGGGCTCTCTATTGCACATATACACTCCCCTTCGTACAGAAAATTGACACGGAACTTGAGTCCTCAGGAACTCACCGGAGTTCTACGAGAATTCTGCACTATAAACGCCGTGTATGGGTGAAAATCTCCCAGTGTTACATGGTCGTAAATTGGGAACAGCGAGCAATCACAGTTCTCGAATGCCCCTACGATGGTGGCTAAACATCGGAATTCTGGATAGGAGTATTGAGTCACATCAGCTCGATCGTTGTGAGTGTAGCAATCGAGCCTTTCATCATGCGCGTTGTTGTGAACATAGTAGCAATTTATTACTAAGGACATTGAATAGTGAGTACTTCTACCGTTAGTCTCTAGCAACATTCAATTCGAACCTCATCGTCGTAGTAACGTGGTTTTACTCGACATTGTTGTTGTGTCGTCTACGAGAAAGATGAGTAGCCCTTCGACCGTTGTGCACTCGGATGCTCCCCAGGGGGGTGTCGGCGAAGCTGGTGCTTCCGCCGCGATGCTTTTGCAAGGAGCTGATGGGGTTGGGACGATGGAAGATTGGCAACATCAAGAGGCCACTTCTCAAAACTTGCCGTCTGCAGGGATCGAACCCGGGACCGATCCAATAGTAAGATTGTGTCTTAACCCCGCGAGTATATAATAGTCATTCAGCTTCTCTTGGATCAAACACTTCAGCAGCTTGTCGCCTTGCTTGCCGTTCTCAGCAGAGAACGACAGACTTTAGTATTGCAACGACGGGAGCTCCAAGGCGAGTGGAGTAAGGTGAGGAGACCCGCACTTAGTGAAAATTCTAATACCGCGACTGTCCATCGCTCCCCTCCGGGACGGCCTCGGCCGTGTCGGGGAGTTTCCAATATGCATACCTCGAGACCACCATGACGAATCCTCTTAATGAATGCCAAACTTCCGTAGTTCCAAACTGCCAAGGCTGCCGCGCCTGGGGTGCTACCAAGAAGGACAGGATTCGACCTCGCAACGGTGGGCGATATATACCTTTAGCGCACTCTACTGGAAGGAGGCAAGACAAGTTGCTGTTGTCGGTTTCAGTTCCGACGCATGAACACCATGTTGGCCAACGTCAACGCCCGTGTGATACAGAGTGTCCAAGAATCCTATAGCTCACCCCTCACTCGGTGAGGCGCCGAACTGGATGGTGACGAGATCTCACATGCGAGTTCAGGAAGCGGCAGTCGGTAGACATGGACTATCCCATACTGCCCTTGGGGTGGTCGAAGA